GTTGGTTTATTTTAAAGTAATTCATATCATTTTTATGATTGTTTTTTTTTTTTCCCGCCGTGAGTTTTTTGAGATGCATAATGTGCAGAAAGTCATTGAATTCCAGCCAGTTGCCAAGTAAGTGTACACACATGTACAGACAAGTGCAAAAATTTGTTACATCTGTCATCACTTTGAATATTAAACAGATTACCTTTAGTGGAAGTGATCTGTTACTTTTACACTCTTTTTTTAGTAAATTATTAAAACTCTTGAGAATGATGCTGTGTTCAGTGCTTCTTTTTAAGGTGACTTTTTTTCTGTTTTTCACTTTGAAATCCAGATGTTCAGGTGTTGGATCATATATGATCAAATGTTGCTGCAGAAAAAAAGGGAATTTATTCAATATTCCAGTTTTTTAAGGTTTTATTGGCTCTAGTGGCCTTTATTTGACAGGAAAGTCAGTAATGAGAGATGGGGAAGGATGTGTGGTAAAGGTCACCAAGCCAGGAATTGAACCTGTGACAGCCATGTTGAGAACTAAGGCCTCCATACATGGGTTGTGCTTAACCCCTGGACCACCACAGAACACCCAGTTATTTTTGTTAATGTAAGCAACCCTATAGAAGAGGGTTCTTAGCCTTGATTTATAAGAACTCAGCGTTTCAGCATTTTCTCAGTTTTCTGGAAGTTTATTCCAGATTAGAGGAGCATAAAAACTGAAAGCTTCTCCATGTTTGGTTCTGGTTCTGGGAACCAGAGTAGTTTCGAACCAGAACACCCGAGTGGTCTGGAAGGTTGACATAACGATAAAAGTGCTTGATACCAGAAATTTCCATACACCAAATAAAAAGACGTGTACACCTTTCTTTCTCAGTGTCTGAAGTTACGTCAGACCACACATCTCTTGCATTTGGTCAGTTAGAATTAACACATTTATTTCTATTCGTCATGCCATGATGAAGCATTTTTAATGTCTCATTAATTAGAACTTTGTGTACTGGATGATTACTTAGTAACAGTCCTGCACAAAAAGTTCTTTATCTGAATTTTAGTACCTTGGTGATCAACTTTAATTTTTTATCAGAACTTTATGTACTAGATGATTACTCTGTAATCATCTGGTACATCTGGTTCTCATTACTGTCCTCTTTTCAAACAATGATGAAAAGTTTAAGTGATGAAGTCACGGCTTTGGAAACTCCTGATAGGCCAACTGACACATTTGAGTTAATTGGCGACACACCTTAGGGTTTATTTTAAGGTGCCCACCTTAGACACACTTCCTTCCAGTTTGATATGATGGGAATTTGAAAACAAACCGTCAATATGAGGAAGACATATTTGTGTTTAGCTCATCATGGGGAAGAATTTTCGGATGCTTGAAGGTGACGCATTAATTTGTTCTAACAATTATATGCGAGTCTAGACATGATGGGAACATCCGACCATCGTACTGCTCAGGAAGGCGCTAGACTTATTTTGTTCGAAATGTGCTAATCTAACTCCGAACAAAAGCCAAAGATCTTGTGAGGATGCTGGCTGACGCTGGTGAGACGGTGTTATTACTCTGAAAGAAAATTAAAATGGCAGATTGCAGTTTGCCAAAGCATGCAGGGACAAAAACCTTCTCCTTTTTGGGAGAAATATCCTGTGATCTGATGCAGAACTGTTTGGCCATGACGAGCATCGCTGTATTTGTAGGGAACATTGTGAACACCATCCCAACCGTGAAGGACGGGGGTGACAGCGTCTTGTTGTGGGACCGTTTTACTGCAGGAAGAACTGGAGCACTTCATAAAGAAGACCACATTTCAATGTGGAAATATTGAAGCAACATCTAAAGATATTAGCCAGCCAGTTAAAGCTTGGGCTTCAGATTGGTCTTCCAAGTTAACAGTGCCCCTAAACATACAGCCAAAGTGGTTAAAAGTAGCTTGAGAACAAAACATCGATATTTTGGAGTGGTCATCAAAAAGCCCTGGTCTCAGTCCTGTGGAGAATTTGTGGGTAGATTTGGAAAGCTGTGTGTGAGCAAGACGACTAGCAAACCTGGCTCAGCTACACCAGTATGTGACAAGAACGGGCCAGAACTTCATGGGCATAAAACATTTTTCATACAGGCAACAGGCAATGCTACCAAACTCTGAGGAAACGTATGTAAACTTTAGATTTTTTTTTAAAGAAATTAATAAATAAATCTGACATATTCCATCTCTCAAATTTGTGACATTTAGCAAACAGAAATAGTTGTAATTATAACCGACATAAAACAAGAAACTTTTTACCTGACCTATTGTCAGACAGTAAAAAACTAAATTAAAAATTAAAAAATCTGCAAGTGTCTTTTTATTCAGCGTGTGTAGACTTCTGGTTTAAACCTGATATTATTAGGGCCTGTTATCAATTTGCCTCTTTTTTTTGTTTGTGTAAAACATTGGGATGCAGAAACAACCTTTGCAAAAGACCAGCATTTACTGAAAGCTTGTTAGAGCAAATAAAATTGATGAATGCTACTGCTGAGGAACTCTTCCAACTGTCGGTCTTTCTTGTTCAGCAGGATATTAACACGCAGCTGGCTCACCTCAGGAGCTGATGAAATGCCTTCTGATTCAGCTCCCACAGATCAGCGTGCAAGCTGCTTGATAATAAGGGGAAATGTGCATCATAAAAGCAAACTTGCAGGAAGCTGCACGTTGCAGTAAAACTAAAATACTGACAGCCAAAATGTCCTCTGTGGGTAAAATCGGAATAGGTACAAAATAGGAAATGAGGTAAGAGTATGTTGCCTGTTATGTGTAAGAATAATTTTGTGTGTGCATGTATGTGAGCACGGCACGCACATACATGTTGGACTGTGTTATGAACTGGTTTATTGTGCAAATGTAATGTTTCTAAATGATGTCCTCCTAAAAGAAGGTAAGAGCTGTGTTCCCTTTGTGTGATGCAGCAGGGAAGAATATTTAAGGATGAGTGGGAGCAAAAAAAAAAAAAAAATCACTTGTTAAAAGGGTTTTATTTGTCCATCAGGGTCACGCAGAATCACTGAGTGAACACTGTGTCTCTAAGCCACCTTAAAAAAGCTTAGCGGACAACAAAACCAGACAAAAAACTATGTCTTTGAGGGACTGGGCAGCTCGAGGACACTGTGACTGAAAAGGATTGGCTAGCTGTGGAGTAAAAGCCACTGAAGAGTCACTTGTTGTGGTGGGCCTGTCTAATGGCCATCACAACTGAAGGAAGTGGACTCTTTAATTGACTGCAATGTGTTTTCCACAGATAACCTATTAGACCATGGCCATTCACCTGTAATGTGGCTTGCCAAGTGCTGTTTTGCTGCCAAATGGCCTACAGACTGGACAATTTAGGCCAAGGGCCGCCTTGACATAGCATTGGAAACACAATTAGAAGTCAATTATATTTTACAAGTGCGTCTCTCCTGCCAACAGTGCACTACCTTAGACGTCAAGGTTCTTCAGGAAAAAAAATAAATAAATAAAAAATCTTGGATCAATAGATTCAACTCGGTGTCCACAATGTGGCTCAGCAAAGAGGGAAGGCAGAATTAATTTCTCCTTGAAGACATTTGAGACTTGAATAGAAGCTTTAGTGTTACGGGCAATACATTTTAATGAGTGCCTAAAATAATACTTGACAAATCTCAACAAGGTGCACCTCCCTAAGCTGACAGATATTGATGAATATGAAAGAAAATGCATGAACTGAAATGAGGAACCCTGAAAGATACAAGAACTCGTCTGTAAAACTGCCTCGAAGGACAGGAGCTTTCATGCTTTTACGGTAAAAGCATGAAACACTTCCTGTGTATAGACAGATTTGGGATACTGCCTACAGGTCTGGCATAGGATATGTGACACAGCGTGGGTTCCTCTAAACATTATCCATTATATGATACAAAGGGCAAAACAACATGGGACTGATTATAATTAATTTTTTCTTTATTTTTATGGTTCTGTCCGCCCAAAATAGGGGGGTATAAATGACCTGAACGTTGAGGAAACTTCTTTTGTAGGAAGTTGGGTGTTCATATTCATGTTCAAAAAGAAGTCTCCATTTTTTTTTTAAATCACCACATAGCGTTTAGAATCCGTGTTTACACCTGATCTTTGCTGATTTGGGATTTCAACCATTCATGTCTTCCTGATACTTTGTAAAATGAAATTCATAAGAGAAAATCTTCAGTGAGGAAAATATCCAATTTATTCCCTCTGTCTCCATCAGATACATTGAAAACAGCTGATTAGTTTATGTATCCCTGCTGTCATCTGGATTTTGGATGCTGAGTTGGGAGTTTAAATAATATTTTAAAATATTGCCATTTGCAGTAATAGTTAATGTCACTGAAAGCTATTCTACATCTGCAACCGCTGGAAGAGCTTGTCTCTCAAAATAAACTTAAGTATTTGCACAAAAGAAACAACTGGTAAAAAAATAAAAAATAAAAAAAAATGGTCAAATGAGGAACCGGCAACTAAAAGGTCACTACAAATGGAGTGTGTTTCTGTGACTAGCAAACTAGACTCAGTTCTATTTTCAAATTATTCCCATTGAGCTTGAGAAGCTCTAATATCCCATCTCAACCCTGTTGCTTACAACTTCAATTCCACCATTATTTTATGCTAGATCTATTAAACATAAAATTCTTTGGCTCATGATCTGCTTGGTGCATCATCCTGAATTCAAATGTAAAAAAAATAAATAAAATAAAATAATAATGGTAATGTAATTATTAGATGTTAAATGTTTTCCTTATGAACAGAGCAAGCAATTAAGGCAAGACATGATATGTTTAAGGGGATCCTCCTCACTCACTGTTCAAAATAGATCAAGTAGATGCTTAGAGCCAGTTTCTAAATGTGGCTGATGTGTGTCTAACTTCTGGAAAAATACTTACTCTATAAAACACTTGCATTAATTTGTTTGTTTATGGGTATTTTTATAGGTAAAATCTTTGATTTTTACACGTATGTATGGGTTGAAAAACAGGACAAATACAAAACTTAAATTTATGCACATTTATTGACTTGCATTCACGAATGTAGATGTCTACGCATGCATTTTTAATTGACAGTAGTCTTACCTTACACATAATGCCTTGTGTTTCCATAGCAACTAAACAAACAAGAACCTGACACAGGTTGTTTGACATCATCATGTCATCCATCTTCTCATCGATGATGTCATAAAGGTTCAAAAGATTATTATTATCATTTGGAATACAAGAATTCTCAGTTTGCTTTTCAACTTCGTTGGAGCTACAGCACTTTTACAACAGGATCAGCGATTTTAGAAAGGATTTCAATTTCAGCAAAAATGTTTCTGACTATTGGTTGGGGCCTTGGTTATCTGGCCACAAAGGGTCTTGGAAAATTATTTGGACATAATATTGCACAAGAAGAAGAAGAAGAAGAAGACACCGACACAGATGAGAGTTTTGAGAATGGCTTTGATGAACAATCCGAAGAAGGCAAGAGGTGGAAATACTTTGGTTTTGAGGAGCTTATTCCTCAAGAACCTGAGGAACAGCCTGTTTCTGAAGAGGAAAGCAGCATGGATGCTGCCTCAGATGTTGCCAGTATCACTTCAGGGGTCTTGCAACTTATTCCTCAAGAACCTGAGGAAGAACCGGTTTCTGAAGAGGAAATTAGCATGGACGCTACCACAGAAGTTGCCAGTACCACTTCAGGGGTCTTGACAAATTTGATAGTCAAGACTCCTGAAGATACTATTGCTTTGAATAGCAACAATTTTTTTGATCATGTGTTGGACCTCCTCTGGGAAACTGACTCTGGCGACACAGACACAGACACAGACGATAGTGGAAGTGTTGATGTTCCCCTGGAAGAAATGGATCTGGCTGTTGACGCGAACTGGGACAGCAAGCAAAATTACCCAGATCATTTTTCTGGCATGGAAGCTGAAGATATGGACGTTTCCAAGAAGATAGTCCATTTTGAAAACTCACATGCTGAGAATGTTGTGGAACATTTGGAAGTCTATCCTGAGCATATTCTTCCAAAAATATGGTCTTCTGAGGAAGAATACGCAGAAGATGACATTGAGTTCTCAGAGAATTTTGACAGGAGGGATTTTTCCAGTCAGTCTCTGAGCATAACTCCTCCGACGTATTCGTCACATTTTGATAAAATTTCTGTGTGTTCTACTTCAGTAGAAACTTTTTCGGAAGAAAGCTCAAAAAGTGACATTCAAACTGTGCCACAACATAGAGACAGCATGGATGTAAACGAAATGGATATTTCTTTTATGGAAGTTCGTTGTGACAGCAGAAATGCCAGAAAAGTGACGTCACAAGTTTCCAAGTGGTTTCGCCAGCTAGGGAATAGGTTGGCTAAACTCCGACCAAGGAGGAATAAATAACTATTCTCTTTCATGGCGAAGAAAAGTTTGAGGAGGTCATTGATGACCTGATTTCACCTCTGGAAGAACTTCAAACACATTTGGGAGGAAGTGGATGGAACATGGCCTGCACAGAGTTGTTCCCCAACTCCATTGTCAATGCGGCTTATCGGAGTTGTGGCCACAAGGTTTCCAGTGCCTGTTTTGGTGTGCTTCAAGGGTGGACTATGACACCCTGGAAGCAGCTAATGAGTACTGGCAGTCCAAGAGGCATGCAGCTCGGGTGGTCGCTAAGGCAAAATCTCGGGTGTGGGAGAAGTTCACAGAGGCCATGGCAGAGTAGTTCGAAGACCTCCTCAATCCTACCATCACATCTTCCACTGAGGAAACGAAACCTGGGGACTTTGGATCAGGGTCTGCTGAATTGACCATGGTGAAAGGCACAGAGAAGGAGTAAGCATACTTTTTGCCTCCCATCTTTGTGCCTGTATGTTGGGATTCAATCCAGTGAAGAGGGTAGCTTCCTTCCACCTACTTGTAGGGGGACGGGTTCTGACTGTTGTCTGTACTTACTGTATGTGACAAGCAACAGTTCAGATTGGCCACCTTTTTTGGAGTTGTTGGAGGGGTGCTGGAGAGTGTCCCTCCTAGAGACTTCCTTACTCTGCTGGAGGATTTCAATGCTCACATGGACAATTACAGTGAGACCTGCAGCCTTGTGGTTGAGAGGATCGGCCACTCTGATCTAAACCTGAGTAGTGTACTGTTATTGGACTTCTGTGCTCATCATGGATTGTCCATAACGTACACCTTGTTCAAGCATAAGAGTGTCCATATGTGCTTGTAGCACCAGGACACCCTGGCCACAGTTCTATGGTAGACTTTGTTGTTTTCCCATCTAATATGTGGCTGCATGTATTGGACTCTTGGGTGAAGACAGGGGCAGAGCTGTCCACTGACCACTCCCTGGTTGTAAGTTGACTTTGATGATGGGGAAGGATGCCAGTCCAACCAGAAAGGCACAAAAGTGTTGTGAGGATCCTGGCAGAGTCACCTGTGAAACAGAGCTTCAAATTTCACCTCTGGAAGAACATCAAACACATTTCGGAGAAAGTGGCCCGCACTGAGTCATTCCCCAACTCCATTGTCAATGTGGCTTATCGGAGTTGTGGCCACAAGGTTTCCAGTGCCTGTTTTGGGGACAACCCTAGAATCAGCTTGTGGGTACCAGAAGGGAGAAATGCTATCAAGCCAAAGATGGAGACCTATCAGAACTTTTTGGCCTGGGACACCCTGGAAGCAGCTTATGGGTAATGGGGTATTGGCAGTCTAAGTGGCATGCAGCTTGGGTGGTCGCTAAGGTAAAAACTCGGGTGTGAGAGAAGTTCACAGAGGCCATGGAGAACCTTGGATCGGGCAGAGTAGTTTGAAGACCTCCTCAATCCCACCATCATATTTTCCACTGAGGAAGCAAAACCGGGAGACTTTGGATCAGGCTCTGCTGAGTTGACCATGGTGAGAGGCGCAGAGAAGGAGTAAGCATCCTTTTTGCCACCCATCTTTGTGCCTGTATGTTGGGATTCAATCCAGTGAAGAGGGTAGCTTCCTTTCACCTACTTGTAGGGGGGCGGGTTCTCACTGTTGTCTGTACTTATGTGATAGGCAGCAGTTCAGATTGGCCACCTTTTGTGTAGTTGTTGGAGGGGTGCTGGAGAGTGTCCCTCCTAGAGACTTCCTTGTTCTACTGGGGGATTTCAATGCAATGCTCACATGAGCAATTACAGTGAGACCTGGAGCCTTGTGGTAGAGAGGATCGGCCACTCTGATCTAAACCTGAGTAGTGTACTGTTATTGGACTTCTGTGCTCATCATGGATTGTCCATAATGTACACCTTGTTCAAGCATAAGGGTATCCATATGTGTTCATAACAGCAGGACACTGCATTTCTATGGCAGACTTTGTTGTTTTCCCATTTAATCTGTGGCTGCATGTCTTGGACTGTTGGGTGAAGACAGGGGCAGAGCTGTCCACTGAACGAATGGTCAGTGGAGTGACCGAATGGTCAGTGGACAGCTCTGCCCCTGTCTTCACCCAACAGTCCAAGACATGCAGCCACAGATTAGATGGGAAAACAACAAAGTCTACCATAGAAATGTGGCCAGGGTGTCCTGGTGCTACGTGCACATATGGACACCCTTATGCTTGAACAAGGTGTACATTATGGACAATCTATGATGAGCACAGAAGTCCAACAACAGTACACTACTCAGGTTTAGATCAGAGTGGCCGATCCTCTCAACCACAAGCCTCCAGGTCTCACTGTAATTTCCCATGTGAGCATTGAAATCCCCCAGCAGAACAAGGAAGTCTCTAGGAGGGACACTCTCCAGCACCCCTCCAACAACTACACAAAAGGTGGCCAATCTGAACTGCTGCCTATCACATAAGTACAGACAACAGTCAGAACCCGACCCCCTACAAGTAGGTGGAAGGAAGCTACCCTCTTTACTGGAGTGAATCCCAACATACAGGCACAAAGATGGGAGGCAAAAGGATGCTCACTCCTTCTCTGCGCCTCTCACCATGGTCAACTCAGCAGAGCCTGATCCAAAGTCTCCCGGTTTCGCTTCCTCAGTTGAAGATGTGGTGGTGGGATTGAGGAGGTCTTCGAACTACTCTGCCCGATCCAAGGTTCTCCATGGCCTCTGTGAACTTCTCCCAAAACCGAGTTTTTGCGCTAGCAACCACCCGAGCACTCAGATTACCCATCCTTTTTGGAAACCTTGGAGGGGGTACTGGAGGGTTCTGTGGTGTTCTGTTGTTGAACTTCTGTGCTTGTCATGGATTGTCCTTAACGAACACCATGTTCAGGTATAAGGGCGTCCATATGTGCACTTGGCACCAGGACACCCCTAAGCCGCAGTTCGATGATCAACGTTGTCATCATTTTGTTGGATCTGCGACCGTATGTCTTGGACACTTGGGTGAAGAGAGGGGCGGATCTATCCACTGACCACTACCAGGTGGTGAGTTGGCTCCGGTGGTGGGGGAGGATGACGGTCAGACCTGGCAGGCCCAAATGTGTTTTGATGGTCTGTTGGGAATGTCTGGCAAAGTCTCAGAGATAATAGGTACACCCTTTCGTCAAATTTGACAGGTGGGCGTGGCTTCTGGTGGGAGAGGGGCTCAGTGGGGAGTCCAGGAGTGGGGGAGGGGCTCAGTGGGGA